GTTATACCATAACGTTTAAGACAGTTTTTAAAAGTCAGATGGGAAGATTGACTTGCAATTGTCTTCTTTGTCCGGCTGTATTCACTGCATTATTTGGCAATTTCACCACCGTAGTTTAATTGAAGATATGAAGACCAATATGGTGTGACCTCTGGTATGGTCGCAGTCTCCTTTCGATTTAGAGAAGTGGGTTGACCTCGTTGTCGCAACCTGGTCTTGCTGTCAGGGCGACTTTGTGAATTAGTGAATAATGATTTCTAGTTCCGTAGATGTCCACGACGACGCAACAGACACAAACTCAGCCCGGATGGATCGGGACCATGGGACGTTTGGCTGAGGTCTTCTTCGCACAAGTCAACAGTCACAATTCCAAGGCGGCAACCCTCATTCGGTTTTTGATGCGGCCAATTTACGAATCTCTTACATCCACCGTTTCAAACGAAATGAAAAATATGCCAGCATCAATAGTCCCGATGCCCGTTTCCTGTGAATATAATGTTTTCCTTCGCTTTATGCTCTACGCCTGTTTCTGCTTATCTGCTTTTCACTTTTTTTTTCCCCTCCTTTCTCCAATTGCCCTCTTCGCCCGTTTACCTTGTTTAGTCTTTAGAGCGCTGTGCCTACGATCACCTGACCGCCACCTATTTGTTGCTTGGCGAGCGCGTCTGCCAGCATCGGCGCAGCTTGCCGCTTACTCTGGCACCTCAACTCACTTCGCTCGATCTGGTCAGTCCATCTACCCATCCTCCCGCTGCTCTTCCTCCTCCTTCTCCTCCCGGCTCCATGCCGTTCGGCCAGACATTTGCTTCCACTCACACTCGCCTCATGGACGTCAAGTGCCGCCAGCCCAGAGTCGACGCCACCAACATGAATAGGGCATCTTGTATCATGGGCCTTGAAGACACCGGCGATGCCAAACGGTATGTATCGTCTTTTGCTGCCTCTTCTCTTACCGCCACATTGGCCGGACCTGACAATGTGATCGGCACTGCGGTCGACGGTACCTCTTCAGACCTACGATTAGCCTCCACCACCACACCTTCGTCTTCCTCTTCATCCTCGTCGAATCAACACGTGCAAACCACTGTTAATTCGCCCCTTATACTTCATTTCAATCTGGATCATGGACAGGATTCCTTCGAAAGTCGACAAACAAGCCAAAGATCTCCTGATTTCGAGACTGTAGGTAAGTAATAACTGTTCTTAAATAAGACGAGTTCCAGTCGCCCTAGGTCGCTAGTTGCCTCCTGTTTAAATTGAGCTCCCCTTAGACTTGTTCCCCAAAAGGTATTTTCATCCAGGCTCGACTGTCCTTCAGTTTCCACCTCGCCTGGGTCTCCTCAGCACTCTCGAGTATTGCACTTTACCGCCTTATTTAATTATCGTTTGCAAGAGTGGTCTCGAGACTACCAGCAAATCAGATAATTGACATGTGCTCACCCCATTTCGTTTAAGGTGATGCAAGAGTGGTGGTTAAATTTCCCCACGATAATAAGAGTGGAGCTGGCGTTTCCATTGAATTTCACATGCATAGCCTTGCTTTTCCAAAAGGGGCTCTCATCCAAGGTGGACTGCGGTCTGAGCTCTTATATCTGAGTTACTGGTAGTCTTGAAGCCATAAATAATGTAATGAGATGTATTCACCCTATTTCGTCTAAGGTGATGAAGGACTGGTAGTAGAATTTTCCCACA